CACTGAAACCTGGTGGGATGAGTCTCATGACTGGAATGTAGAAATATATATATTTATACCCCGCCATTAGCCGAGGCTGTCAAGGCGGCTTACAAGTTAAAAAGAATACACCCATACAATCAATGACAAAATAACCCCCTTAAAAATGTATTAAATCGTTATACAGATTAAAATCTCAATTACAGTAAAACAATAAACATCTAACATGGACAGGCAGCGGCATTTCCCTTATTGTGTCCTCTGCTCTATTTTCCTCAGGTTGAACACCCTTTTCCTTTTGTGAGAAGACTGAGGCAAAGAAAGTGTTGAGTAGTTCTGCCTTTTCTCTGGCCCCTGTTAGAATTTCTCCATCGTCTCTGCTCAGTTGCTCTACCATTTCCTTCTTCTTTCTTTTTCTACAAACATACCCAAAAAAGCCCTTTTTGTTTTTCTTAACCCCTCTAGCAAGCCTAAGCTCATTCTATGCTTTAGCTTTCCTGACTTTACCCCTAAATATGGTAGTTACTTGTTTGAATTCCTCTTTAGTGATTTGCCCCTTTTCCATTTCTTATACATCTCCCATTTAAAACTTGAAAGTTGTTTTGTCACTCAACCTGGTTTCTTGAGACACCTCCCATTTTTCCTTCTCATTGGAATAGTTTGAGATTGTGCCTCAAGTATCTCCCTTTTGAGAAACTCCCATCCATCCTGCACTCCCTTCTCCTTTAGTATTCCTGACTATGGGATCACTCCAACTGTTTCCCTAAGTTTATTGATATCAGCAATACTAAAGTGTAGAATGAGTGTCTGACTATGCCTAGCTTCTCCTTTCCACTGTATAAGAAAATCAAGGAGAACATGATCACTCCCACCTAAGGAACCCACCACTTGCACCCCATTTTCCAGATCATTTGAGGTCCCACTGAGCATAGGTCAGTGTAAAAGCCAACAGTTTAAGTCAGTGTCACTTTAAACAGATGCAACTGTGTGATGAATTGTGGCTTTCATGTCTTATGTGCCCTTAACAGAATGCATTAATCTTATAAAATTAGCAATAATGGTACTTGTGAGGATAAAAACTACTCAATGGAAATCAAGAAAAATTACTCCTAAAAAAAGTCTACCATTAATAGATTCTAAATTATTATTGACATGTTAATGACACTGACTGTCCTTGAAGATTTTTCTATCTTACTTCCAGCTTCAAAAATATGAAAAAGACAGCCAACTGGAAGAAGAGCATTAAATTTCTGAACATTCTCCATTTGACTCTCAACTAACTTTAAAATGTTAGGATAGAATATAGAATATTACAGTTTAATCAGAACTTTGCTCACTATAGATTATGATGAGGAAATAGATAAATAAGTTTATTCAAATATTTATTAGATATAAAATGTTACAGGACAGCAAATATAAGAACAATATTTTCTGTTGTACATCATCTTGAGGGTGGAAGATTAAGAGGAGATAGAAGAATGTTTCAAATAAATAAATAGTAAATAATAGTAAATAATTATTGATCCATACACTTTATTTCCCTTATTGTTGAATTGTGTGTGTGCACATGTGTTATATATGCATTAAGATGATTTTAAGTCTGTTTTTAAAATACACATAGATCAAGGGACATAATCTTCACATTGAGAAACACCATTTAAATATCTTCTATTATTCTCAATGAATGTCAAGTGAAATCATCTCAAAAGTGACCACGGTAAGGTGGTCTGCTTCTTTCATTCTAATTTAATTTGCTCTTAGCTATACATAAGGAGAAAAGTATTCTCTTTCATTCTGAATTTCAGTGCCAGTTCGAGGTCAAGCTTGGATGAGAGGCCAAGTAATGTGTGCAAATGGGATTAGACCATTTTGATGATGAAAAAAAAAAAGACTAAGCAATGCAATATTGACCCATTGCCTTTTTTGAATTCTCATGCAGCTTACAGTGAGTAAGGGAATACATCGACAAGATTTATAAAAGTAGCTCATAGCTTGCAGCCAAGCAATGGTTCATTCCCAGAACTTGATTTAGAAGAATATGATTTCTGTCAGCAAATGACTATAGAAAATGAAAATAAAGTTATATAATATATTCACTTCCTAGGGGGCATCCCAGTAAAGAGTCACAGTCCTAAATTATTGTACTATTTTAAAAGAATGGAGGCCTAAATTTTTTGGCAATGAAAAATCTAAAATAAACACAGCAACTTTCTTACTTTTTTTAAAAAAATATATACCCCTGCTTTCTCTATTAGAGGCAAAAATGTAGCACTATCCATTTGAAAGGGCTGTAAAGGTTAGACATAAATGGGAAAGCTCATTTGATTGTGCTTTTTACTGTTCTTGTGATTTATAAAGGTAGCTCTGTAATACTTTTTTTCTTCTTCCAGGCTTTTCCTTCTATGTTAAAAGGTTTGAATAATGACATTGTATACAAGTAAGGAACTTCTGGACAAAAGAACAGGTGGCATGTTGTTGAAAATCTCTGTCAAATTGCCATTCACATGTTGGAGGAGGTGCACAGCCAGAAGTAGCTTAATAAACACTTGCTGTCCCATGAATGAATAGGGACTAAAAGTCTGAGATGGGTCTGAGTTTATAAATTCAGATGAAGGCAATATCTAAAATGTAGTTCTCCAAAGCATAATGTTTTATACCAGTGGACATTTGATACAAGACTTTTGTTTACACAAGTAATACATGTATGCCAACTGTTTGCAAAATTGTTTTTTCTATTTCTCCACTGGCCACTTTTAGCCAATATGTCAGCTATTACAATATTCCTATCCACATTATACCAGTGGTTGAAAATCTCTAAATATGCTGTAGCAAGTAATAAAGATATACAATCCTTGTGGAATAAATTCTCATTTTTCTCTAGGAAACACATTTTAAAGTTAAACTAGGGATTCAATTCTGCATTGAGTTTCTTGTCAAAGGTAGCAACAAGTATTTTCAGCAGTTTGGGAGCAGTTTCCAGACACTCCGTTTGCCCCATCGGCATGATCCTTTAGCAGTGAAACTGGATGTAGCTTTGGCCAAGATTTATTTGTTTGTTGTTGCATGTATTTTAAGGTTTAGTTTTCTGTTTTCATTTTTTTAAACCTCTTCTCTCCCATCAAGTGAGAAGAACAGCTGGTTTAAAGCCTGGACACTTGAGATTTATATCTGGTTTGCAATTGGGGGTTCCATATAATTATGACTTAATTTGCAGCTGAAGAATCTGTTGCATGAAACCTTGTTTTCAAACTGGCAAGAGGCTGAATGAATAAGCTGTGCTTTGAAGCCAAGCAAACCTGAGCTTACTCGTAGACATGGAACTGAGCTGTTTTTTGTAGGCATGATAAACAAATGCTCAAATTGGTATAAGTTACAATTTCTCCTTTCTCCTTTGTTTTGACCCCATTCTGTGGCCTTAGCCCACCCACCACTGCAATGGAGTCTCTGACACACCTCCCACAATGGATTGAGTTTTTAGACTGAAAAAAAGGGTCAAGATGGGGTTACTATCATGGGTCTATAGCCAGAAATAGAAACATTCCCAGAAGTGTATGCAACTTTTATTTCAATATGAAACGTCTTATACATTTCATGAGTGTTCACTTTATTAAATGTTGTAGGCCATGGTTTAGAGCTACCATGGTGTAGTGGTTTGAGTGTTGGACTATGACTCTCAAAGCCAGGGTTCAAATCCCAGCTCCATCATGGAAACCCACAGAGTGACTGAGGACAAATCACACTCTTTCAGACTCAGAGGATGGCAATGACAAACCTGCTCTGAAGAAACCCACTAAGAAAATCCCTTGATAGGTTCACCTCAGGGTCACCATAATTTGGAAATGACCTGAAGTCCCATAACAACTAAAAAAAACATGGTTTTGTATATTTTGTAACCTACTTAGGATAAATATGAGATATAAATTAAACAAAAATAATAATAGAATAAAAATGATCAGATTACTTCCAGGTTCAAGAGTGGCTTATAAAATTACTAGCAAATGCATCAGTGAAACCTAATCATAAGAATCTGCAGAGGATTTTACCCTATGAAGAAATATATCAGCAATAACACTTCCAGGACAATACTGCCATGCTTGTCATGAGCCTAGGACTCATTAGTGATAGAGACAGTCTGACATCATTGAAACAACAGCAACTATATGGAAGAGCTGACTTTTAGGATGAGCAATGTGAAATGTATGAACTTAGCTTGTATGATTCTATAAATATCTAATTTTATATAGTTTCTTGTATAGATGTGGTCATGGGTAGAAGTGAATATTCAAATAAGACAGCCATGAAAGTGCTAAAATTATATACAGAAGTTCATGAATTTTCAAAGGACAGTGCAGATATTTGTTTCGCTATAGTCATATATCAGGGATTAACCATCTGAATCATTCAAGGGACTATATTGCAGACCTGTAGACCCATTCACTGAAGTATGGTCCATTGGTCACAATCTGTCTAATATGCAGTTATCTACAGTCATTTTGAAAGAAATGGGACTTAAGTACACGAAACTCTGTGCTGAATTATAGCCATTATGTGCAACAAGGTTGCAGGATCAAAGTGATCGTGTCTCAAATGATGAAGTGCAGGCTTGACTGCTATCTGATATAAAGCACAATAATTAGGAGAGCAAAAGAAGAAAGCATTAACTCTCTATGCAAATTGTCATGGAATGTTTTCTCCTCTTTAATTTATTGAAAAGCAATATTTTTATTTTTATGCCCTTTGGAGTCAGTTCTGCATTTTTCAATATTACTGTGAAACTGAGAAAAACTTTCACAGGAGGTGCTAATGGGTCAAACAGTTAATATATTGTTTCCAAATATTACTTATGTGTCATGCTAAAAAACTGTTTAACCTGGAAAAAATTCCATCCACTGAAGGAAAGGATCAGAACTGGTGGAGGGGGAAAGAGACATTTTGCCCTCTTTCACAAAAAGTAGGTTTGTTGAACTAAAATCTTATTTGTGACAGAGCAAAGGTTCCCCTGTAATGCCCTTTTGTATAGTTTTGAGGTCACTGATGACATCCGCTATGAGATTTTCTTACACTGCTATAACCAATGACCTGTTTAATTTATTTTTCCTGGCAAGACATTAGGTGGAGCTACATAACATTCAAACATGCAAGTTTGACAGGTTTCAGTACTTTCAAAGAAGCAACCATGTTAGTCTGTTTATGTTCAAAAGAGAAAGAGGGGAAGGAATGTACTGGTACCTTTGAGATGATACTTTTTTGTTTTATTTTGTTTTTTTGTTTTTGTTTTAGCATGAGTTCTTGTACATTTCAATCTACTTCTTGATATGTGTAGATGGAATACAGCATGGAAAAAATAGCCTAAAACTATGGCTATGTTGTGATGCCCAAAAGGTTGTATGCTAATGATTTTGACATATGTATTTTCAAGTTTTTGTACTTGAAATCCTGGTGTATTGTTGACTCCCAATGACTTATATTTTACTGGAACATAGACAGTTTCAGTTGTCATGATTTTTGACTTTGCAAATGCTGTTTCTTTTAATAAGTTCCACCTTGTATTCTGTTTGAAATGGCCCTCATATCAGATTGCTAGTTTTTTGTTTTGCTTTTTTTCTGTTGAAAGCAAGACAATCATGGAGGTATTTGACACTCTGTTCCACAGGTTCTTCAAAATGCACAATAATGAACAGAAGTATCAAGTACTGGGACCTTTTCAAGACTAGGAAAGAAATTACTTTTTGTCTGTATGATTCCAGGGAACTGGCAGATTGTCAACCAACCTATAAGGCTGTTATTAATAATTAGTGGCCTCTAATTTTCTGTGCATCAGTTGGATTGATGAGGTTGCACTGAACATATTTGTTAAATGGAAATAAAATATCTCTTTACTAATAATGACAAAGGGTCTGAAAAAGAAAAGACAGGATAGGAACTACTCCCAGAAGCAAATTGATCTTTATAGCACTGATAACGCTGGAGAGTTTATGCACCATTGCAATGTGCATAAGCTTTAATCATCATGATATGAGCCTTTTCATGCTTAAATGATGTGATGTGTGACCTGACTACACACCAAAGAGCTGGCATCTCCAAGGCTTTCTTGTAGGTTCGCTTTTCAATGACTGGCAATAGTTTCCAAATCTTGTTTTGATGTCTGAAATGCTGACAATTCAATAGACATGTTTTTTTCAAACAAGGAAACTCTGGTGAAATGGAGGATTAGTGAATTTTGCTTTACATTATCTTATTTGCTTTGACAACTCCAGGGCATGCTACACAGCAAACAATCTCACCTAAGCTTTTTCATGAAAGCAAAGAATAATATTTGATGGCAAAGCCTACCCTATCTGCCTCAGATCCAGTGAAGAAACATTTGATGAGAAACATTAATTACAAGCATAAAGAAAGCTGAGATGCTAACAGCTAATTAGTCTCAAAGGGAAATTAATTTAATTTCCTAAGTGGCAATTGCTATCTTGCAATATTTTCCTTAAACAAAATAAGTTCTGATTTATCATACTTGATACGTCAGAGTTTTAAGGAAACAATGAGACATACAGAAATTGTTTTTTATTTTTATTTTTTAAAAAACAACCACACACAAACTGACTGTTGGTGAGGTCGGATGTCTTACAGCAACTTTTTTTCATTAATATGCATATATTTTGTGTTAAGAATTAGCATCTAAACTAAATGAGTGTGATGAATCTTAGGCTAATGGTAAATTGCCTTCATGATGCCAATGGTCCCTCCTTCATTTCAGACAACTACAGAATGAACAGTATGCTAAAGTCAATGAATCTGGAAAACAATTTAAACAATGAAGAGCTGGTGATTCCATTTGCCTGGTGTCCTTATTTTCAACACAGAAACAGAATCTCCTTGTTATCCATAGAAAGCAACTGAAAGATGTGTATATGGGGCAGGGAGGAAAACAGCATTGAAAATAATATACTTACAAGAAAGGGAGAAAATGAAACCCTGCTACTTTTGAGAGAAAATGGGGAGGGAAGATGAGGTTGACAACAGGAGCTTCCTTACAAAGAATAAATATGTTGAAAGGAGACCTTTGGTGACTTTATTTCAAAGTGTTTAAAAGTCACAGAGTGAGTGGGTGGGGGGACGACCATGGCCCAAGTCCACAAATAATGTGTTAAGATCTTCATAAGGCTCAACTGGAGGAGAAGAACCTAATGTGAACAATGACTTCATTTTGATTGAGGTTCAAATACCAACCTACAGTTGTGAGAATAGCAAATACCTTTTCAGCTTAAGGTTTTCAGTGAGCCAGCTTGCCAATTTTATGACTCATTTCTCATTTGTTAGCCATTGTTCACTTTCTCATGCACATTCTCCTTTCTTCCCCAACACTTATACATTTTCATAATTAACACAAAGTATGTAATTAGTGTTTGAAAAAATGCAATCCCTATATAACTATAAGTTTGTAGGATTTCTTTTACTTAGTAAATCCTAATGAAAAAGTAATTAAACAAAAGACCAATAGCTTATTTTGAGTTGACATTTCATTGTCATTGACTCTGATGAAAAGAAGAGTAAAATATATGTAATAAGGATGTGGCAGAATTTGGCAAAATGAACAAGGATTATTTTTAAAACATACATTGCTTTATCTCCTAAATACTGTGATATTTGTTAGATAGGTTTTGTTTATTATACTAAAATACTCAACAACATCATAGGTAACATATTGGAATATAAAAGGGATATTAATATAGATGTTTATTTTTTTTTCTGGATTCCCTTTGGCAAAGAGAAAATATTTCATAATTTATTTCTGCTATTATCAAATGCCTGGTCCTCAGTTACTTTAGATTCTATTCACATGGTGAAAATAATCCAGGATGAATTTGGGTTGAATCCATTGTTCATATACTCCCAAAATGCACCTGATTCTGTTTTGGGGTGGGCTACCAAAAAACCCACTAAGGGCCTTTGCAGATGGCCAGAAATAGTGCAAATATAATCCACTTTAAGGGTTAGGGTTAGTGCTAGGGAGTCACGGGAATTGTATTTTTTTTCTGAGACATTGAACGTTCTCTGTCAGAGAGCTCTGGTGCCACAATAAAATACAGTTCCCATGATTCCCTAACCCTAACCCTAACCCTTAAAGTGGACTAAATTAGGATATTTGATACTGGGTCTTTTCACAAGTTTTTTTTTTTTAAAAAATAGTATCATCAGCAGTATGAATAATGAAGCAAACAGCCCCAGATTAAACTCAGCATATCATCAATGCATTTTGAATGCATTCACATTTTCTACTCTTTGGTGGGGAAAAGCTCCTCCCAACTGGCTTTATAAGGAGATGCTGCTCCTCTTCTTCTTTCCTTGCACTATGCTATGGGCCAGTTTATGGGGGCTTTCTGGGAGGAAAGTGATGTGTCCCCCCCAGATCATGGGGGATGAGTATAGACTGCCCCATACTTTAGCTGCCAGCTCCTACTCTGAACTCAGAGAGATGTGGATCAATACCATTCCATGGTGTGAATAACAAACCCAGAATGCATGAATATGGTTATTTGCATCCTTCTGATACAAAAAAATGACATGTGAATGTCCCCTTAGTCTAGATGTAGCATTTTGGAATCTAGCATTTTACCTTTTACACTCACTTGTGAAATGAGTGGTGTGAAAGGTGGACTTCTAGCAAGAGATGAGCTGCATCTCACACCAGTTGCAAGAAGCATTTT